TCGGGGCGGGGCGAGTCCGCGGCTGGGCGTTCGCCGCAGGGGGCGCTGGTAGCTGGCAGCTCAGGGTTGGGAGAAGGCCAGGTGGCGCTGGGGGGTCCTAGCTCCCCGCCGCCTCTCTCCGTGCGCCCCGGGGGCCCTCCGCACTTCTCGGCCCTCGTCCCGCCCACCTACCACAGATGCCACGATAATTCCAAGCTCCCTGCGCTAGGCCCAGACCTCTGCTGGAGCGTGATCCTGAGTGGACCCCAGGGTGGCCTCTGCTGCCAGCTTTGCCGGCATTTCAGACCCTAGGCCTGAGGTGGAGCCTTTTCTGAGCAGAGAGGTTTGTGCGGGGAGACCCACCTCGCCTGGCCCGGGGCTCACCATCCACAGATGCGTTTGCTTTCCACCTGCTGTGGCCTGAGGAGCCCCAAGACGGCCACCGTCCTGTCCTGTTTAGAGGAAGCCCAGGGAGGTGGGGTTCACAGCGGGTGGGGGAGTCCCGACCTCAGGGCTGCCTCCCTCTCCTGCCGGTCAGCTGGAATGGACATGCCTAGGCCTGGCCAGGTGAACAGCCCCAGGTGAGGCGCCTGGGCTGCCCTGGAAGAGAATTCTGAAATGACCTCTTTCCAAACTGCAAAACCCAAGTTTTATTGGCACTCCGGCAGTGGGAGCCGGGCTCTCAGTTTATTGCTCTGCTGTGGCCGCTGGAAATTAAGGAGGCGTGATTTTCGGCCTCCGCAGACAGGAGGCTGGGCACGCCAGGGCTTGAATTCCTTCAGAAGCCAGCCCGGGAATTCCTACCAGGCGGCTCTGGGCCTTGGCTGAGACCACCCTGTGGGCATCGTCTGGGGACCACCCAGCTGTGGGCTGCAGGGCTCCCATGGGTGTCTACCCTGTGCTCTCCACATCCATGTGGTGTGTCCACCCTGCCTGGAGCTATGGGAGGGACCCAGCCAAACCAGCAGGAAAAGGCAGGCACACGCATCCCAGGACAGACCAACCTCAGGCCTGGCCCTGCTGACCAGCAGCCTCAGTCTCTCGGACTCGTGCTCGGAGTGTTCTGGGGCTGGTTCTGCTCAGACCTGGGCCGCCGCCTGTCCCGGGAGCTCTCAGGCAGCACCAGGGCTGTCCTCTGCTCAGCAAAGGCCCCACAGGATACAGATGGAGCCACGGGCCAGGCCCAGAGGGAGAACCTGCCCTGAGTAGCCATGACAGGCAGTTTCGGCCTTGAGAATGAGGGAGCTGCCGGCCGCCTGCTGCTACCCGAGGCTAGCCAGGGGATGAGGCATGGAGGTGCTCAGACGGCAAGAGCTGCTGGCCTGGGCCTGCGTCCCCTGCCTGCTGTGGAGCCCCTGACAAGGCCCAGGTTCCAGAAGACCTGGACACACAGGCGTGCCCATGGTGTTGTGACCTGGCTGCTGGGGAGCTGAGAGGAGGACGGGAGGGTGACAAGACCTTGCAAGGTAACCCTGCATCTGTCTCTCTCATTAAAGAAATTTTTTTTTTTTTTTTTTTTTTTTTTTTTTTTTTATCACGATCACCTTTCGCAAAAAA